GACAGAGGGTGGTGGTTGATGGGAAATGTTCATCCTGGAGTTCAGTTACTATTGGTGTACCTCAAGGATCTGTTTTGGGGCCACTGCTGTTTGTCATTTTTATAAATGACCTGGATGAGGGCGTAGAAGGATGGGTTAGTAAATTTGCGGATGACACCAAAGTCGGTGGAGTTGTGGATAGTGCAGAAGGATGTTGTAGGTTACAGAGAGACATAGATAAGCTGCAGAGCTGGGCTGAGAGGTGGCAAATGGAGTTTAATGCGGAAAAGTGTGAGGTGATTCACTTTGGAAGGAGTAACAGGAATACAGAGTACTGGGCTAATGGTAAGATTCTTGGTAGTGTGGATGAGCAGAAAGATCTCGGTGTCCATGTGCATAGATCACTGAAAGTTGCCACCCAGGTTGATAGCGTTGTTAAGAAGGCGTACAGTATGTTAGGTTTTATTGGTAGAGGGATTGAGTTTCGGAGCCATGAGGTCATGTTGCAGCTGTACAAAACTCTGGTGCGGCCGCACTTGGAGTATTGCGTACAGTTCTGGTCACCGCATTATAGGAAGGATGTGGAAGCATTGGAAAGGGTGCAGTGGAGATTTACCAGGATGTTGCCTGGTATGGAGGGAAGGTCTTATGAGGAAAGGCTGAGGGTTTTGAGGCTGTTTTCGTTAGAGAGAAGAAGGTTGAGAGGTGACTTGATAGAGACATACAGGGGATTAGAAAGGGTGGACAGTGGGAGCCTTTTTCCTCGGATGGTGATGGCTAGCACGAGGGGACATAGCTTTAAATTGAGGGGTGATAGATATAGGACAGATGTCAGAGGTAGGTTCTTTACTCAGAGAGTAGTAAGGGCATGGAATGCCCTGCCTGCAAAAATAGTAGACTCGCCCACTTTAAGGGCATTTAAATGGTCATTGGATAAACATATGGATGATAATGGAATAGTTTAGGTTAGATGGGCTTCAGATTGGTTTCACAGGTCGGCGCAACATCGAGGGCCGAAGGGCCTGTACTGCGCTGTAATGTTCTATGTTCTATGTTCTATGTTTCCCTCAGCTGGCACTGTTGTTTTCTCTAATGTTTTGGTGAGCATTCTACTTTCCTGATTCATTAGTGGGAGCATCAAAGAACAGTACTTTGCAGTTGCCATGATGTGTCTAGCCTTTAAACAACACCCAGTCTGCAATCTATTGTGTCAAAACAGTCAAACCCGCAAAGCTCACAAACATATCGAACTTTGGATCTTGGCAGGTAAGGCGCTCGTGATGTTCTCGATGGCATTTGAGACACAAACTGATGACAGGCAAGGAAAGCATTTCTGAAGTGCTTCTGTCAAGATGTTTATACATTATAATTTTCTCTTAAGTTTTACATGTGTTATAAATTGCATGTAACTAAACTGCACATTTAATGCAGCACGGTGGCTCAGTGGTTAGCACTGCTGCCTCACAGCACCAGGGACCCGGGTTCAATTCCACCCTCGGGCGACTGTCTGTGTGGAGTTTGCACATTCTCCCCATGTCTGCGTGGGATTCCTCCGGGTGCTCCGGTTTCCTCCCACAATCCAAAGACGTGCAGTCGAGGTGGATTGGCCATACTAAATTGCCTGTAGTGTTCAGGGATGTGTAGATTAGGTGGGTTATAGGTGGATGGGTCTGGGTGGGCTGCTCTGACGGTCAGTGTGGACTTGTTGGGCTGAAGGGCCTGTTTCCACACTGTAGGGGTTCTATGGACTTCTGCGAAAAAGTGCTGTATCTGTCAGGAGTGTGTAAAGTGACAGTGTAGAGAGAGCTTCATTTTCAGTTTGAAAGAGTAGAGGGTGCTTTTCTTCCACTTTAAAAAAGTCGAGGCAGCTTTACTCAGTATTTAACCTTGTGCTGTACCTGTTCTGGAAGGGTTTGATGGGACAGTGTAGAGAGAGTTTTATTCTGCATCTAACCCATGGTCTACCTGTCCTGGGAGTGTTTGATGGGGGGCAGTGTTGAAAGAGCTTTACTTTCAGTTTAAAAGAGTAGAAGAAGCTTTGCTCTGTACCTAATCACATGCTGACCCCTTTCCTGGGAGTGTTTAATAGGGACAGAGTCATGTGGCATTTATTTTCTGTTTAAAAGAGTAGAGGGGGTTTAAATGCGTTGAGAGCTTTACTGCGTATCTAACCCCTTGCTGTCCCTGTCTTGGGAGACTTTGATGCTGGCAGTGTCACGAGTGTCTCTGCACTTTCAGTTTAAAAGTGGAAAGGAAGTTTTGCTTTCAGTATAAAAGGGTAGAGGGAGCTTTACTTTTGGTTCAAAAGACTAGAGGGAACCTTACAATGTTTTTCACCTATGCTGTCCCTGCCCTAGGAGTGACTGATGGGGATGGTGTAGGGAGTGAGCTTTACTTTAAGTTTAAAAGACTAGACAGTACTTACTTGCAGTTTAAAAGAGTAGAGAAATCTTTACTCTGTATCTAACTCAGTTCTGTACCTGTCCTGGGAGTGTTTGATGGGTACTGTATAGAGGTACCTTTACTCTGTATCTATCCTTGTACTGTACCTGTTCTGGGAATGTTTGATTTGGACAAGTGTGGAGGAGGCTTTATAGAATCATAGTCATAGAGTCATAGTACAGAAACTGACCCTTTGGTCCAACTCGTCCATGTTGACCAGATGTCCTAAATAAATCTAGTCCCATTTGCCAGCATTTGGCCCATACCCCACCAAACCCTTCCTATTCATGTACCCATCCAGATGCTTAAATGTTGTAATTGTACCAGCCTCCACCACTTCCTCTGGCAGCTCATTCCATGCACACACCACCCTCTGCATGAAAAAGTTGCCCCTTAGGTCCCTTTTAAATCTTTCCCTTTTCACCTCAAACCTCTAGTTTTGGACTGCCCCACCCCCAGGAAAAGATCTTGTCTATTTACCCTATCCATGCCTGTCATTATTTTATAAATCTCTAAAAGGTCATCTCTTGACCTCCGATGCACCAGGGAAAATAGACCCAGCCTATTCAGCCTTTCCCTACAGCTCAAACCCTCAAGCACTGGCAATATCCTTGTAAATCTTTTCTGAACCCTTTCAAGTTTCACAACATCCTTCCTATTGTATGGAAACCAGAAGTGCATGCAGTATCCCAAAAGTGGCCTAACTGATGTCCTGTTCAGCCGCAACATGACCTCTTAACTCCTATGCCCAATGAACTGACCAATAAAGGCAAGCATATCAAACGCCTTCTTCACTATCCTCTCTACCTGCGACTCCAGTTTCAAGAAACTGTGAACCTGCCCTCCAAAGTCTCTTTGTTCAGCAACATTCCCCAGGACCTGACCATTAAGTGTGTAAGTCCTGCCCTGATTTGCCTTTTCAAAATGCAGCACCTCACATTTATCTAAATTAAACTCCATCTGCAACTCCTTGCCATTGGCATCTGATCAAGATCCCGTTGTAGTCTTAGCTAACCTTCTTCGCTGTCCACTACACTCCAATTTTAGCGTCGTCTGCAGACATACTAACCATACCTCTTATGTTCACATCCAAATCATTTATATAAATGACAAAAAACAGTGGACCCAGCACCGATGTTTGTGGCATACAGCTGGCCACAGGCCTCCAGTCTGAAAAGCAGCCCTCCACCATCACTCTCTGTCTTCTGCCTTTGAGATAGTCCTGTATCCAACTGGCTAGTTCTTCCTGTATTTCATGTGATCTAACCTTGCTAACCAGTCTACTGTGAGGAACCTTTTGAATGTCTTACTCAAGTCCATATAGATCATGCCCACCACTCAGCCCTCACCAATCCTCTTCGTTACTTCTTCAAAAAACTCAATCAAGTTAGTGAGACATGATTTCCGATGCACAAGGCCGTGTTGACTATTCCTAACCAATCCTTGCCTTTCCAAATACATGTAAATTCTGTCCCTCAGGATTCCCTCCAACAACTAGGCGACATTCTCGTGGTTTTTTCACTGGACTGCTAATCTAGAGACCCAGGTAATATTCCGGGGCCAGGTTCGAATCATGCCATGGCAAATAATAGAATTTGAATTCAATAAAAATCTGGAATTAGGAGTCTAATAGTGACCATGAGACCGTTGTCATTTGTCAGAGAAACCCATCTGATTCACTAATGCCCTTTAGGGAAGGAAACTGCTATCCTTGGTAGAAAAAAAACCAAAGTTAACATTTCAGGTCCAGTGACCCTTCCTCAGAATGGAAGGGTCACCGGATCCGAAATGTTAACTCTGATTTCTTTTCTTTGTAGATGATGCCAGATCTGCTGAGCTTTTCCAGCAACTTCTGTTTCTGTTCCTAATTTATAGCATCTGCAGTTATTTTGGTTTTTAAACTGCTATCCTTACCTGGTCTGACCTGCATGTGACTCCAGGCCCACAGCAATGTAGCTGACACTCAGATGACCTCTGGGCAGTTGGACTTGGAAAGTAAATGCTGGGCTAGCCAGCTTACAGCCTCATCCAGTGAATGAATTAAAATAAAGAAAAGTGGGACTCAAGTCAGATGAATCCCCTGCCAGCAAAGGTAGGACACACAGGGAAGGGCAGAGAGTATTCTTGTGACGGCTAGAAAAGGCTGGAAGGAGGTGCAGGAATAGGGCTTGGAATGACCCAAGAGTGATTGGAAAGCAAAATGATGATTTGGGGCAGCTTGGTGGCTCAGTGGTTAGCACTAGTGCCTCATAGCACCAGGGACCTGTTTTTCGATTCCAGCCTCACGCGACTGTTGACTGTCTGTGTGGAGTTTGCACGTTCTCCCCATGTCTGCATGGGTTTCCTCCAGGTGCTCCGGTTTCCTCCCACAGTCCAGAGATGCGCAGATTAGGTGGATTAGCCATGGGAAAATACAGGGATAGTTTTGGGGTTTAGGTGGGATGCTCTTTGGAGGGGCGGTGTGGACCTGATGGGCTGAGTAGCCTGCTCCCACACTGTACGAATTCTATGATCTATGATTCAATGAACTTACCCACCACTGATGTCAGGCTCACTGGTCTGCAGTTCCCTGGCTTCTCATTACTACTTTTCTTAAATCGAGGCACCACATTAGCCAACCTCCAGTCTTCTGGCACCTCACCTGTGGCTATCAATGGTACACATATCTCAGCAAGGGGCCCAGCAATTACTTCCCTAGCTTCCCACAGAGTTCTAGGGTACACCTGATCAGATCCTGAGGATTTATCTACCTTTATGCATTTTAAGCTGTCCAGCACCACCTCCTCTGTAACATGGACATTTTTCAAGAGGTCGCTATTTATTTCCCTGCGTTCTCTATCTTCCATATCCTTCTCCACATTAAACGGTGATGCAAAGTACTCATTTAGTATCTTCCCCATCTTCTGTGGTTCCACACAGAGGCAGCCTTGCTGATCTTTAAGGGACCCTGTTCTCTCTCTAGTTACCCTTCTGTCCCTCATGTATTTACAGAATCCCGTTGGCTTCTCCTTAACCCTGTTTGCCAAAGCTATCTCATGTCCCCTTTTTTGCCCTCCTGATTTCCTTCTTAAGTACACTGCTACTGCCTTTATACTCTTCTAGGGATTTGCTCGATCTCTGCTGTCTATACCTGACATATGTTTCCTCCTTATTCTTGACCAAAACCTCAATTTCTCTCGTCATACAGCATTCCCTACACTTACCAGCCTTGCCCTTCACCCTAACAGACACATACTGTCTCTGGACTCTCAGATATATCTCTTCTTTGAAGGCTTCCCATTTTCCTCCTGTCCCTTTACCCACAAACATCCGCTCCCAATCAACCTTTGAAAGCTCTTGCCGAATACCATCAAAATTGGTCTCTCTCCAATTTAGAAATTTAACTTTTAGATCTGGTCTGTCCTTTTCCATTACTATTTTAAACCATCAGAGTTATGGTCACTGGCCCCACAGTGCTCCCCCACTGACACCTCAGTTACCCGCCCTGCCCTATTTCCCTAAACATAGGTCAAGTTTTGCACCATCTCAGGCATGTACATCCACATACTGAATCAGAAAATTTTCTTGAACACACTTAACCAATTCCTCTCCATCCTAGCCCTGAACACTATGGCAGTCCCAGTTTATATTTGGAAAGTTAAAATCCCCTACTGTAACCACTGTATTATTCTTAGAGATAATTGAGATCTCCTTATAAATTTGTTTCTCAATTTCCTGCTGACTATTGGGGGTTTATAGTACAATCCCAGTAAGGTGATCATCCCTTTCTTATTTCTCAGTTCCACCCATGTAACTTCCCTGGACGTATTCCCAGGAATGCCTTGCTAAGTACAGCTGTAATGTTATCCCTAATTAAAAATGCCACTCGCCCTCCTCTCTTGTCCCCCGTCACCCCCTTTCTATCCTTCCTATACCGTCTATATCCTGGACCATTAAGCTGCCAGTCCTGTCCATCCCTGAGCCACTTCTCTATAATTGCTATGATATCCCAGTCCCATGTTCCCAACCATGCCCTGAGTTCATCTGTGTTACCTGTTAGGCCTCTTGCATTGAAATAAGTGCAGTTTATGTCCTACCTTGTTCTGTGCTTTGGCCCTGCCTGCCTTTGACTTGCTAGTTTTCCCAACTGTAGCAGTCTCAGACTGATGTCTTTGCTCACTATTTCCCAGGTTCCACTCCTGTGCCCACCCCTCCGACCCTTACTAGTTTAAATCCTCTGGAGTAGCTCGAGCATTTCTCCCCGCCAGTATGTTAGTCCCCTTCCAATTCAAGTGCAATCCGTCCTTCTTATACAGGTCACTTCTACCCCAGAAGAGATTCCAATATCCAAAAATGTGAATCCTTCTCCCCTGCACCAGCTCCTCAGCCATACGTTCACCTGCTCTATCCTCCTATTCATATCCTCACTAGATCGTGGCTCCGGGAGTAATCCAGATATTACTACCCTTGAAGACCTCCTTCCTAAATTCCTGCCTAACTTTCTGTATTCTCTCCTCAGAATCTCGTCCTTTTTTCTCCCTGTGTAATTAGTTCCAACGTGTACAGTGATCTCCTGCTGGTCCGTCTCCAAGATACCCTTGATCCTGGCACCAGGGAGGCAACACACCGTTCTGATGTCTCACTGACGGCCACAGAAACGTCTGTCTCTGCCTCTGACTAGAGAGTCCTCTATTATAATTGATCACTTGGAACCTGGCATACCCCTTGTTACATTAGAGCCAGCCTCGGTACCAGAAACCTGGCTGTCGGTGCTACATTCTGCTGAGAGTCCATCATCCCCTACATTTTTGAGATGCGGATAGCCACAGGAGATTCCAGCAAGACCTGCCTCCCTCTCCTACCTTACCTGGAGGTAACCCATCTACCTGGCTGTATCTTCGGTTTATTTCCCTTCCTGCAACTGCCAGCCATCACATCCCCTAGCTCCTGTAAATTCCACATTGCGGCTCCAATCAGTCCATGTGATTTGATAGGATTCACAACCAAACACACTTCCTGCAGACATCATCAACAGAGAAACACTCCTTAATCTCCCACATCCGACAGGAAGTGCACATCACTCTTCTGAAGGCCATCTTAGCACCTTAACAATCTACAGACCCAGAAAATAGCACAGTCTTACTGCTCTAAACACACTGCTCTAGGCTAACTTAACACCTATGTTTTTATATTTTTAATGTTTATTCACGAGGCAGATCTCAATAAAAACATATAATCGAAAAAGAACCTATCTACTCACTATTGTAGATTCACAAAAGAAAAGTAAGGTTACACTTTAAAACTAACCACTTAGCTGCTTCCCTT